GCACACCAACTCAATACAAGTGTTTTTGGGAGCAAAGAGAAAGACCTTTTCTGCCCAAACAAGACCACAGGTTGCTTGACAAACCTTCTTTAACTCCAGGAGCCTCAGAGACACACCCACACTCCTGCTACAAACAGTGTGTGCAGGCTGTGTCTGGGCACACACACACGTTATTAATCCATAAAGACACGAGGACTCACAGTGTTACCTGTGTCTGAAACACTGCAGGTGACATCTGCAGGACAAGATGTACAGGCACGTACCATAGTGCTCTGTCCTCCTCAGAAAAAGGCTCAGAACATTTGCATACAAAAAGGATTTGACACATCCCAAATATCACTGATTTACCATTAAGCTCTTGCAGTCGTCTTTCCTCTGAAGTATCTAAGAGGAACCTGCAGATACTTTCACATCATTTCTCAACCTGGTGGAGCGTATTTCTGGCTCTGAATTCCCTGAGTCCTTACACCATGTCTTCAAGCATCGGATCTCACGTTTACCAAACCTATCAGGTGTTGATTCCATGGACCAAACCTTTACTTTACACCTACAGGAGTTGTTTTTTCCCAGTTGAAGCCTGCAGGATGAACCATATCAAATCCTTGAACTACTGGTATTTGCAGCAACTTCAGGGGAAGGTACATACTGGGGTGCCAGTCCCACATTAAAGACAGAAGACTGAAGATCAGTCAAGTCTAGATCCCCTAAGGCACTTAGCAGCCTGAACCTCACCAAAGCTAGAAGGAGACAGGGCTATTAAAAATTAGACCACAGAAGGTTTATACCATTAATCTTGCCTGTAATTATGTCAGTGCAGTAGCACACCAGCAAATAAATCCACACTTCTCAAGTCTCTGGGTACAGCTCCAGCCACCAGGTTGTCCCTTCCCTTCTCAGGGGGGCTGATGTTGGACAAGCTGGCATGTGCCATCTCCAGCTGAAGAATGTGTGTTTTTAGGGAAAGTCAGGTGGGTGCAGTTTGTTTGTGTTCATACACCTTGGCCAGGGCTCTGAACCCTGAGGATATCTGTGAATGCGAATTTCTGTGTACTTGGAGAAGTGACAAGAAATGCTGCAACTACAGATGGTACCCCTGGAAAAAGGAGCACTTTGCATCTGTTTGCTATGCAAATTAATTCATTTAACATTTGTTGACAGCAGGTCAGTTTAGCACAGGAATCAGGCTAGAAAGTTGGCAATTTAGGAACTAAGTTCTACTCTGTCCTCTTATAAGTGAAAAAATCCAAGAGAGAATTAAAAGTAATTAGGCAGAAACTAGCAATTAAGCCCAGAATGAATTTAATTTTTAAACCATTAAAATCCTTGCTGCTTCCAGAAAACTAGGAATCATGGTGGGTATCTCCACAGACAACTAACAAGATGATGTGACTGCAACAGTGCTCTGACTCACAGAAGCAGCAATTTCCATGCAAAGCAGGGAAGCACCTTAGGAAAAACCAGGGGACCCAGGGAAGGTCTCTGGAACTGCCTGGAACTGCCTCATGAACCACAGATCCATCTTTCCTACAAGAGCTCAACTCAACTCATACCCAGCACCTCAATGATTTTCCTATGGTAAGCAAATGTCTTCCTTACTTCTTCTCCAGTCCTACTGCTTCATAACCAAAAATCCACTTTGCTTTGTCTTTTACTGTTCAATTCCAGATTTCTACCATACATGTTTCTTTTATCAGCTTCAACAGAATACCACTGTTTTATAGATGACACCCAGGGCAGCATCCCTCACAAGGCTAGTGCCCATTTGCAGCAGTAAAGTGATTATGGGTATTGCAGATCTATTCATCATACTGTGTCTACCCTTGGAAACACAGCATTGTAAGAGGAAGCATCTTTTTCCTGATCTCAGGATGGGAATTAAGACAAAATTACCATCACCTGCATAAGTTTATGAAAACTTAAGTGTTCAAGATTATAAAAGAGCATCCAATCCATTTTAATATTAGATCATAGTTTGCAAGTTGGATGTGCTGCCAAGTTTCCAAAGGGGAATACAGGACTCCCTCAAACACTTCTTTGAACAGAGGTTTTAGCAAGTCAAGTGCAGAGTGAGATGGCACACAGAACCCATCAGCTGTGTTCCAGATGACACCAGGATTCAAAAGACCCCTACAATGGGCACAGTCACAGGAGAGGGCCTGACTTCAGAAGGAGCCCTTTAAATAAAGAACAGTCAACACAGACCTTCACCAGTGGCCTTTTCCTCCTTGCATTCCCACTGGCTCTGTGTGAGCAGTCAGCTCCAGTAGCCTGGAGGGGACACCACTGAGTGTCCCAGGTAACCCCAGAATGAAATAACATGGCAAAGCAGCTTTCTTGAATGGCTTTTCTGATGATAAACTGTGAGCAGGGGTGCAAATCCTGTGGCCACACAAACCTAAATCAGTACCCAGCATCACACTGGGAATTTTGTTACTTCAGCAAGCGGGTAAATCAGGGCTACAGAAAGCCAGAAAGCCACCTCAGCTCCAGCCAAGGGCAAGAGTGCATGGACCATGGCTCTTACCTTGTAAGTTAACCCCAGCCCTGGTGCAGCTTCAGATCTTTGCTCAGGTATTGGCCCAATTAGTGACCCTGGAGCTGAAATCCTTCCATCCCACACGTGCCTGCCACACCACACGATCCTGCTGTCAATGCAGCCTTAATCCACCCTGGGGCACTGGGCCAAGGTGAGTACACAGCTCACTCCAACCTACTCAGACCTGCACACACACCAGCATCTGAACCCCCAAAGTGAGGGGGAAGAGACACAAGTTACACGGGGGAAAATGGGGAAGACTGGAAAGGAAAGTGGGATGGACTAGGAATTGAAGAAGAGGTAAAGCTAAATAATTGTAGTGTGGGATTTTTTAATTACTTGTTTTTAATTATTTTGAAATGAGTGTTTCCGTGGCTCCACATTATCAAAGGAGAAACCTAGATTAAGAACAAAGTAAAGATGAGTAAGCAGTGTAAAAAAAAAAACCCAGCAAGTAATTAACTGGCAGTTCATGCTGTGAATCACTGAGTTTGGAACAAACTCACCCACATCTGTTGATAAACTTCATTAACTGAAAAAATGATACTGAAATGAATGCCATGCTGCATGCACAACGCCTGTGTTCTGCTTAGATACCTAAAGTGCAAGGACACCTGAAACCTCAGAGGCTCAGAGATTGTTCCAGTTATTTTGGGAGAACACAGATCACACCTGAGGCTCACTTCCAAAGGGGACAAAGGGAGGCTGGCACATAATCAAGAGGCGTAACCTCCCAATTAAATATCAAACTGGTGAACAGTTTGCAGCCTGCAATAAGCTCCATTCGTGGAAAATTGAATTTCTAGGACCAGCTACTGAGTCAATGAGAGAAGCGTAGGCAAAGGGGTTTTTAAACACTGATGTCTGTCAGACAGATGGCTGCAACAATTTATTCCCTGTTGGTGTTAACTATCACATCTTGCTGCTGCTTTTAAAGATGAGCTGCACAGGATTTCAACACACAACACAAAACAATTTCCAACAATTTTAATGTTAATTACTTTTGATATGCCCACTTAGACCCCTAGATCTGGAAGTGCTCTACAAACAGTGTGTGTAACATCCCTGACATGGGAACAGGAAGCACAATCAGCTGAAAGGCAGCTCATACCCAGCTGCTCCTGCACTCACCTCACTGCACAGAGTGGGCAGACAGCAGGACAGTTCCCCTCAGTTCCTGGGCAGGAGGCTGCTGTCTCCATGGCTCAGCACAGACATGGACAAATTACCTTTCCCAGATGACCCTGCCCTGCTCTCACATCCCCACCTACCTTAGGCAGCCTCAGTCAAGCATGAGATCACCTCACCCCACATCTGATGGAAGCTTCAAATTTTCCACAAGGAAGCACTAAGTCCCTCCTGACTGTGACAGCAGAGACCAGAGATGAGAGGACTGAACGACATTTCCCTGTTCAACAGCAGAAGCAGCCACATTCACTGGGTGTTGGCCTGATGCATTTCAGGGTGCATCAGGACTTTCAAATACCAGAAGTTTAAATTCTCTAACATCTCAGTACCATGTTTCTCACCCTTCTTCATTGGCTTTAAGAATACAGTGTCCAAAAGGACACAAGCCTTTGAGTTTCCTGTAAAACCAGTGCCTTACTTTAAAATTTAAAAAAACCAAAAAACCTGCAAAAGCCCAAACCCAGCCGATCAACAAACCAAGAGATACCCTGGAGTACAGAAGTTTGAGTGGATCCACATACTAATAAAATTTTATGATGTGGATTAGGCTAGTCTACTAATGACCGATTTATTGTCTATACTTACTGGAGAATCTCATATTCATTGAGATAATCCTTTTATTCCCTCACCATGACTAATTTCCTCTTGCAGAACACCCTTAGAAATGAGACACTAGTAAGTAAAAACCTATGATGTCTGGAGTCTGCTTAAAGGACCTCAGCTTCCAGAGGGACTGCAAATAATTTCAGTAATAGGCCCTTCCAGAACACTTTTCATTACTTTCTTCATTTGTCAAGTTACTTGGGGGAATAGTTATTACAATTTAGAGACCACAAGCCCAAGAAACAGAAATGAACCAACTTCTGAAGATACATTAATCAGTAGAAATCTGACAGGAATACATTTAAGACTAAGAGAAGGTATAATGCCAAATCTTTATTAGTTTTATTTGAACTAATTGACTTCATCACAAAGCTGAAGAATCTAAACTAAATAGCATAACTTTTTTCTCAAAAGAAAAGCAAAACGTGCTTAGGGAACATTGATTCTTCAGGTTTTTCAGGCTGCATTAGGACTCCTCCTGACTCTAGCTTTTAACATGAACTGTCCTGCTCTCAAGGTGCTCTCAGGCTTGCAAACACAGTATGAAACCAGAAAAGGCTCCTGTGCAAGGAATTTTAAAAGGAACACTTAGAATCCTAAATAGTCAGTAGCTCAAATTCTTCACTAAAACCCCAAGAAACGACGGGGAAAATAATCCACAGCTGTGCCTTACCTCAAGCAGCCAGAGGTGTTCTTGAAGACCGTTGTCCACTCGGCGTCGCGCGGCTTGGAGTCCTCGTTGGGCTCGCTCTCCCAGCCCGAGTGCGGGATGATCACCTCGTTGGTCAGCGTCTGCAGACCGTGGTTGATGATGACCATCTTCAGGGGCTCGTAGGAGGATAAATTCCACAGGGTGCCTGCAGGGGATTGTTAAATAACCAGAGAATAACAACTGTATTCAATCTGTACACTAAAGAGAATCACAGGATTCACAGAGAAGTGCTTGGAGGTTAAATCATAAAACTAAACAAGAAGGCGAAGCAACTTGATGAGATGCTAGAGCAGAACCAGCTTAGGAAAAATCCCACAGCTTCTCCAACAGAGCACAAAAGCACTTTTATCAAGACGTGGATACTGTTGAACTCATCAAGCCCTACACAGAGTACGTAAAAGTGATTGATGTACTACTGGAGATTAATAGGATTTTTCTGCTGTATACAAATTGTGTTACACTTTCAAGTCTAACTATGCCTCAAAAAGTAAAAATTCATCCAGTGAAGCAAAGTATATTGAGCAATTCCTAGGAGAGATGAATTTCTGGAGGATCACTGATCTTATGCTTATCTTCTTCACAAGATAATATTTCATTCAAGTCTCCTCTCTATTATTTATTTTCACATTTTCCTGTCACAAGCAATATCTGTGTTCAAATCTCCTGGTGCCACAAACATATGATTTCTTGAGGAAGCTGGAAACCAGAACTCCACTGTCTTTTCATTTTTACCTCAATTATGAGCCAAAGCAGACAGAAGTCAAACATCAAAACTGAATAGCAGAACAGCAGCTTTATAGCTGCAAAATACCCAGTGTTAGATAAGTGATACAGCCTCCCAGCAGACCTGTATCAGTGTCCTGACAGTTATTACTCATCAGAGTGGGACTGAAACAGAACGCTCACTTCAGAGAGAATTTCTGCCTAGACCCAGCCTGGTACCATCTGAGAACTGTCAGTAACAACACTTGGAGGGAGCCAGACACACGCTTTTGGTCTCCAAGAAAACGTGTGAGTTCTAGCAAAATTTTCAGACAGCCCAAACAGAAAGCCCAGATTCCCCAAAACACACAAGGAATCTTTCCTAAGGGGATTGAATATCAACCTGAGGTCCCTGTGTTACAACAACTATGGACGTGTGCAGATTACAGTGCATACTGTAAATCTCCACCTCATTGTGTATACATCTAAAAACCACAACAGAACAACAGAAGTGCAACCTTTTGTTTCAGCCCCTTTCAATCTTTCCTGGAGCAGTGATGTAATCTGTTACTTCTAGAGTGAAACTACAGAGGCAAATTTTACTGCTTAAGAAGAATAAGGCAGATAAGTAAAATGTCAAGAATACCTACAAATTTCCAAGACCTCTAATATTACAGGAATGTATGAAATTTTACCAGTGCTAAACCCTTTTGCTTGTTTTAAGAATTAGAGATTTGTGTCTAGACTTCAATACCTTCAACCACAGCATGTAAAATAAAATCACCACCTCCAAACTCTTCCTATATTCTCATTCACCAGAGGTTATTTCAAGAGAGTAAATGCAACTGTGGATTCAGTAGAGTTCTAACTGGATTGCAGCATCATCCTGCCCATCTAGCACCAGCTTTGATGCTGTAACCCCACCCTGACCAAGAGAACCACCTGCCCCTATGGAACAGCTCCTGTACATACACAGAATTTTTATCAAGGGGCTGGCTGTAAGGTATGCAATGAACTATTTAGGGCAAACACAATTTGATGGTAAATCTCAGCAAGTGACTACAAGACAAAGGGAACTGGAGTTACACAGAATCTTTCCTCCACCTTCTTTGATGAGAACTCCCTCAGCATTTTACAAGATTGCAATTTCTCATCTGCCTCCCATCTTTCATACAAAACAATAAACTGAAGAAGAATAAAAGACAGCCTTACTATTTAAAAGTTAGTGCAAACACTTCAAATTATTCAAAAGGTCAAAGCACTTAAATTTATAATACTTTCCTCAATGGCTGCATAAGAAATAGAAAAGAATCCCTCTCTTTAACAGCATTTAGCAAGGGAAAATGCACAGCACTTGAAAGAAATGTAGCAAAAGATAAACAGAGGTGAGGGAGTCCTGTGGTTCCAAAGACAGAGAAAAAACTTCAGGTTGAACACTGACTTCATGGAGAAAATATTTCACAGGAAAGGATATAGAAAATAAACACACTGACAGTACATTTTTCTTGTTCAAAATTATGAAACAAAGAGCTCTAAATCCAAGCATCCTTTCTGCACTAGAGAAAACAAATTCTATGGAAAAGTCACTGATAGCGACAGCCTTTAGGTTAAAGGAACAAATTCAGATCTAACTGTAGCATTTAGCAGCACAAAAAAAAATAGGAGGGAAAAAAGTGATGCAAATTTGACATCCATCTTTAAATATCATTCCCTGATACTATTAGCATAAGACACCAATGTTTCAACAAGCTGGAAACACTGTTTTTAAAACTCGAATCAATTCAAATGAACAGCACTCAGGAGAAATCATGTCACTAACAGAGCAGCACAAGGTGCACAGGTGTCACTAACACAGCAGCACAAATCTAAATTTTCCATGCACTTTCACTACAAGCCTTGGCCTTTTTGACCACAGACTGCATGAGCTTTAGGACTAAGAGAAAGATGAAGTACTGCTCCTCAGAAGATGAACATGATGACTAGCAATCTGTATTTTATTCATAAATACTGTGAGTAATGTACTTATGTACTTCTAGCTTCAAGCATCAGCCCTGATTTTTCAACCTATAAAGCAGGAAAAACATCTACAAGCTTTTATTAAAAAAAAAATCCAACATCACCAAGAAACTAGAAGCTGTTTAATTCCTTTTCTGTGGTCCATACCAGATAGTTTATCACTTGGAAAAATAAGCACTCTGTAATATATTCCCTCAGGAATTCTCATTGTGTGTTGGTCCAGGGGACATTTGTTTGACAGACTTGTTTCTATCAAAGTCCTGGAGATTGGAGCTGGGCTCCTGTCAGTAGTGGTCAGGTAGAGCACCTCAGTGTGACCTAATGTGTGACAAGGACCTTCTTCAGAGAAGCCCTGGAACAGACAATGGAAGGAGAAAGCTCCTCTGAGAGAAACAAGCTGAAGAGAGCAGGTACTTCTCCAAAGAGGAGTCTGAGCAGCTGACAGGACCTCAGCACACAGCAGTGCCCAGGGGTGGCAGTTCTGAGAAGCTGATTTATCTGCAAGTTGCTATTCGAGCATTAGATCAAAATATTTCATCTGCAGAGCATTTTGAAGGTCAATCATTTTTCAATTATAACCAATTTGAAGAATCACGTCCTGCACCACTTAAAATCAGTGCAATGTCATTAAACAACAAAATTACTCCAACGTTCTCACAAAGAACAAAATTATTCATTAAAGCTACCAATTTCTGATTGCTTTTCAAAGAATGTAATAGAATTTTGGTCTTGCATATCTGATGGGAACATTTCCTCCACAAAAACCTTATCACTCAAGATAAAACTTTTGTAGCTTTCCCAATCAGAACAGATTTAATTCCTTATCAGTTTAATCCTCATTTCTCTATTTTTCTCAAGAAAATGATCCACTGAGAGTACAGCAGTACAGCTACAAGCCTAGCAAGAAATGAAGGAAGAATTTTATGGAGTATTTCTCAACACAACTCTACTCATTATTTACTTATGGACACTCTTACCACTTAAATCAAGCTTTCCTCAGTGCAGTGGCTAGGAAACATTTTTTAAATCCACATTTCAAAAAGAAAGAGAAGTGAGATCTGTGGCATTTTCTGAATGTATCTTTGAGTTTAGAAGGCAGTTTTTGCATACTTCACAGATCTCTGACTTCAAGGGGCATCATTTGCAGGTATGTCAAGAACACCTGGTAAAACAGTGATGGCACTAACCCAAGGAAATTTTTCAAATTCTGCTAAAACCAGTGCTATCTGTAAGAAAAAAAACCTACAGATTGGTTAATCTGGCAGCAGTGGTGTATCAGTACACTCTGCCTGCTTCCAAAATTTAATGTCAGAACAGCTGTCTAACTTCTCCAAAGGTGCATCCTGGGAAGTGCTCAGGTGAACACACTCCCATCACAGCCAGACCCGCTTGTTCAGCACTGATGCCACACATGTGATTTCTCCCTCAATGCTGCATCCACCTCTTGGGTGTTTTTAACCCATTGGTGTGGCTTTTCCCCACTGCATTCACAGTGACCAGACCCAGCTGTGGCTGCTGCATCTGATCAAGCAAAGGAGAAGACATGGAGCTGTCAAGGACTGACTCTCACATTAAATGCTAATGATGGTGTCTTGCCTGAAAGCCCTGCCTCAAACAGGGTGTCCTACTGGGTGCACCCAGGCACCTCCTGTCCTGCAGGCAGGCACTGTTCCACAGTCAGAGAAACAAAACTTCAAGCCTAGAACTGCTCTTGAATTCAGACAACTGAATTATTTAAACTTCTTTAAATTACTTGAATCTCTCTGGAATGTAGGATTATTTTATCATTTGTCCTTAGCTGGGATGACCAGCTGGTGATTACTACTGAGCTTTTGAAAAACAGCCAGTATTGAGTTAAAGAAAGATTAAACTGGAGAAAAATCAATGTGCCATACCAAACTTGAATTTGGAGCCTGTTAAAAGAAATAAACACAAACGCTGGATGCTGTTGTATTTTTTTTTTCTTTTTCCTAATGCATTGCTAATGAAGTCCCCAGACATTTCACTCCAGACAAACTGAAAACTTTCATGGCAAAGGTAGGCTCTGGTTTATCACTAGGGAGAAGCACCCAGATAGGAAGTCACGATTGCTACCAGGAGAACATTGGAATTGTGATCTGAATTTCTGAGGCTGCAGAACTCAGTCCTTTTGCAGCAGCCCTGCCTGAATGCTCCCTTTGCACTTCAAGCTGGCTCTTGTTTCTCTCTGCTGACTTTTGGAGCTCATTTTACAAATGGACAATCCCACATTATCAGCCAGAGCTTTGAACATGGACTGCAAGTACAGCAGCACCAGCCACAGAGGCATTGCTGGAATATTCTTCCTTTCTGTGCTGATGCTTGAATGTCTCACACCGGATCTGGTGATATCATCTTAGAAGGGGAATGAAATTATTCCTGGTTAGGTGGAGATTAAATGCACATCATCTGTTACTGGACATCTGTTTAGGTTAATACCCTTAGTATTCCTGGTGTTTTTGAGTAAGGGGAAATAAAGAGCTCTAAGTAACAAAAGCCAAGGTGGAATAAAAATACTACATTTAATTGGCAAAAACTACTGCCAAATAAAATGCATTTGAACTCTAAAGCTAATTAAGCAACAGGAAATCAAAGCAATTGCCATTTACAGTGAAAAGGAAAAACATCCACTTTGCTTTTGCCATCTTAGAAGTGACTGATTACCACCTAGCACTATAATGATATTCCTTCAGAGTAAATTATAGACTGACTTCTCCTTTCTTGAATCTAAGGAAATAAATTTATTGCTTCTCAGCACTCCAGAAATGAGTGTTGATTAAACTAGAACAGTAGATAAACAGATATTCTTTATTAAAAAAAATAAAGTCTGCCATTGCATTAAATGAGTGCAACAAATGGAATATAAATACCACCTGCAGAGTTTCCATGTTGAGGCAGAGCACAGACAGCTCTCAAAGCACAACCAGCACGTGCCACTCAGAGGTTCTGTGACAAAACAGACAGCTCTCCCTTGCCAGCTCACTGGAAAAAGGCTGGAAAAATATCCCTGCTAGTTTCAACACTGTATATTTAGACCTAGTTTGCTAAATAGCCTGTAATGGCTGTGGAAGAACAGATGGAACACCCAAGGCCACTGTTCATCTCAGAGAATTATAATTACCAGTAAAAACTTAAAGAGAGCTACTATAATTTTTGAGGAAATTACAGAATTATGATGTTTACCTCTAATGGCTTAATCAATGTTTGCAATAGGGTCTACCTGCACAAGCCAACACTGATAAGGCAGCTAAACAGTTTCAGCCCTGGACCCATTTTCATCCTCACAAAGCTTTCAGAACAAATTCTGTTCTGGCACAGAAATTCATCGGAACTGCTCTGGTCTCCATCCAAACATCCCCTGCGGCTTCTGAGAAGAGAAAGGGAAATCCATTTCACTCCTCATGATTTATGGGAGACTGAAGAACAATATCTTTCTCCTTACTTTAAGAGCTGACATACTTTTCCACCCTTTCCCACTTAATGGCTGAACTTTGAAACTTGGCATATACTTTATTGCTCTTTTTGGATGATTCCCAAGACTAAGTTCAAATAAAAACACGTTAAATAATGGAGCTGTAAGTGCTTGAAAACTCCCTGCAAATTGTGCATGAATTCAGCAACCTGAAATTTAATTCACCCTTTTCCAACCTTAGCAACAAACAAATCCATGTCCAGATTAGCAAAAGCAGACCCTATGCTCCCTAAAATCTGAGTTTTCCAGCCTAGAAGCTGCAACTTTTATACAGCCACAGAGTCCTCGGCACCAGGCTGGAAGTGTTCCTGACCAGACTGACTGTCCTCTAAATATGAGGGAGTGGGGACATGGCAGGAGGATTGTTTTATAAGAGATTAACAAAGAAAGATTTAACTCAGTGTATCTTACCTCATTACAACACGCTGAGGGCACTGCACATTACCTGTCAATGGAGCAGCTGTAACTCATTTCAGCTCCAGTACCCCAAAGCACCTGGTAATGCATGCCACACCCAAGGAGCAGCACCCATCCCTCAGCAGCCAGGGAATCCCAAGTGCACCACACACACAGAGATGATCTCAATCCCCTCCTGATGGACACGTGTCAGGCTCTCACTCCACAAACGTGGTGCAGCTACACAACCGCTGCAGCCAGTGGTCTAAATTCTCCTTCAGTGCTGTAACCTCCAGGAATTCTTGTTCCTGGAGCTCAAAGAACTGTTCTAAAGACTAATTCATTAACAAAATCACAGACACTGACCTGTAATTAGCTCTCTGACTTCCATGTCGTTTGTTTTTCGCAACAGCCTGATCAATGCAGGGATCCCATCACAGTTCTTTATGGCCACTTTGTTTTCATTATCCTTCCCATAGGAGATGTTTCTGAGAGCCCCGCAGGCCTTACGATGGACCTCGGGCTTTGGATGATCCAGCAGGCCCACCAGGATGGGGATGCCCTTGAGGTGCCTCACGTCCTTTTTGATTTTGTCGTTCTCGTAGCACAGGTGCTGCAGGTAGGCGGCGGCGTTGGACTTGACGGGGTCGATGGGGTGGCTGAGCATGGCGATGACCTCGGGCAGGTCGGGGTCCCTCCAGCGCGGGTCCTTGCGGATGCTGTCGATGGACGGCGAGCGCTTGCCCAGGCGGTCGATGCTGGCCATGCTGCCGCGCTCCGGCTGCGCCAGCGGCGCCGCGTAACCCCCGTGCAAGTACGGGATCCTCTCCTCAACCATCTCCGTCTCAATGGGGTCATCGTAGCCCCTGAGAGAAACAACGGTCCCAGGACAAAGAAAGGGGGAAAAAAAGAAAAACACAACGCACATTTAAACACTGAATAACTCGGAGTCAACACAGAGATTTCACATTTCAGCCACGAGCAAACATTTTAATATCACAAACATTACTGGGCAGCATATTTACAGTTTTCAATAGTTTATTTGGAGTAACTTGAAAATTAACCATAGCTGAGCTCTCAGCAGTGATGGGACTCCAGCACAGTGTTTGTTTGGCTAGCAATGAAATGATGACAGGAACTGCAAGCCATCAAACAGATTGCTTTCATTTTGGTCACTTAGCAAAGCAATTACAACAGAGCTGGATTACATTTAGTAGGAAACACTGATCTTCATTAATGCTGCTACTTCTGCAACAAACCAAAACTCTAATTAGGGGCATTCAAGGCCTGGGCAGGGACCACAGATATATTTCAGCAAGTCTGACAAGTTCCACTACATTTCCATGTTGATGCCCAGACAAGCATACTCTAAACACTACTCTTAATCAATATTGCCATAAACCACCCTCTTATGGATGTATTTTTTCAAACCAGCAGCAGCCTTTTGCCTTACAGTTTTTTCCTGGACAGGTTTGCTACTGTCTCAGTATTGCAGTTAGCTCAGTCAAGCAAGTGGTTCTAATTGCTACAAAATGTTTCTTAAAATCTTTCATCTAAAGTACTGAGTGATGTTATTGAACCATTTCTGCTGTCATGCTGAAGTATAGGCTATTAGGCATCAGGAAGAAAACGGAACTTGCTGTCATCCCAAAGGGACTGATAATTAAACTGGGCTCTGGGGAGAGGAGCAACCAGAGGTGGAGACTGAACTTAGTCTCGTACAATTAATGCTTTTAATGTTAAAAGTGCCTCTCCCGACTTTACGTTACTTTAATTGCTGTTCTAAACCATAAACTGAACGAAAGGATAGAAATGGGCAAGTATCCAAAACCCAGAATGAATCTGAAGAAATCCTTTTATTGATGCAGTTATTTGTATATGTATAATTCAGCAGTTGCTCTACACAGTAATTTACACTCTCTGGACAGTTGTGTTTTCTGTTACAGAACAAAGCTGTTTCCATCACTCCAAGCAGAAAGCAACAACACTGAAACAATTTACGTCTGTGAATGCACACAGGGCAGAAGGAACAACAAAACCCCTTAGCTACTCCTAAAAATTCTGTTTTTACAAATGCAAATTTGTGATAACCAGCATTAAAACTGCAACAAATTCTCATTTCTCAAACCCATCCTCATGTTACATTCTATTTCACTTCACAAAAGCAGCAGAAGATTAATTTTAATAATTGCATAGCTGTTCCTTGCTTGACTTGGTAACTCACAATACAGAACATCTCAGTCCTGTGAGCTGCCCACAAGATAACTGTGCACCACCTCAATTACACCTGCACAATTAAGTTTCTCTCTCCTCCTCATCCGTGCAAGTACACAAAGATAATTGCTGTCTTGGGATGCAGTTTGTTTGCTTTATTTCCACAAAGCCTTCCAAACAGAACCACACAGATGGGCCAGTCTTCCTCATGTTGTATCCTCTTCTCTTTGCCACACAAAGCTCCTTGGTCTCATTACATTTGTCAAAAGAAAACTTCAGAGTTAGAACTTCAAATGCAGCGCTGTCATGACCAAAGAGTACCACACAAGTATTGTACCAACAGCGCTAATTTTAATTGTCAATCACTACTTATTAAATATGAGTGGAAATACTTGAAGTCAAGAATTTATCATTAAAAAGAAAAATTAAATAAGATGACAACCTTGCTTTAAAATAAGACAGCATCTCTCAACAATCGATAGAGAAGAGGATAAAAACAAAAACCTGCACTTGCTGGAATTACCCCTCACAAGCCAGATCCAACATTCCTCTGAGGATGAAACAGTGCTGAGAGCCACTGCTAAAGCACCAGTGACATAACTCAATGACTGTACCTGGCAGCAAAGGAAAACACCTGTACACCTGAGCCTTGAAGACCCCAAATCATTATGTAGGAACTCAGATCCTGTATGAACCTAAGAGGTGCACAAGGAAGACTCAGCCAAGGCAAGTATCACACTACTTCAGATTCACATGACCAAATACACTGATCAAGGCTAGGGAAGGTTAAAAAAAACCAACAGGGGAAGCAGTTTACCAAAACAGGTCATCCATCTGCAGAGGAGCAGAACAACTGCTCAGGCAGAGCAAGGCAGAAGTGCCACAAGCCCCATCACCTCACCTTTAACAGAGGGCTGGAAGATCATACTGGCAGAGCAAGAAAGCCAAAAGCAAGAATCTATCATGGCATTAAACACACCCTGATCATCAACATATTTACACACTGGATGAGTAAAGAAATCCTCTTTCTGAGTCAGATTGGTGCAGGCTAAATGAGATTTTTCACTTGCACATCACTGGAGCAGCTTGGCTGGGAAGGAAAAGCCACTTGACACAGAACAGGACTACCAAGAGCCTCAGCAGATACTGCTCTCAGGAGACCAAGAGTTCTCTACTCTCAGGACTGAAGAGCTCTGGTGCTATGCCAGAGGTGCTGACTGCAAGCATCTTGCCTTCTGTCTGTCTGCAGCAAGGCAGCCGAGTTTTTAGGATAGCATGGGTCTCACTAATCACCTGTCCCAGGGAATTGATCAGAACACATTCTAGCATAGTTAAAAACTGGGAGAGAGCTTGTGGATTTATCATCTTCCTTATGGCTTCAACATAGGCACATTTGAGTAAACAGGTGAAGGATTTAAACATTTAATCCTCAACAACTTCTACAAGTGTTACATTCATTACAGTTTGCAGCTGGTATCTGCTTTGGATAAAAGACCAGAAAGGCTCAGGATTTCAGCAGGAAACTTTGTGCCAAACACTGAAGAGGAGACATAAAGACTTTGCAGAATGAGATTCTACTTTTGCCAGGCTCTGTTCCTGGACAGGATACACAGGGGGATTCAAAACTGGAGTGAATCCTCTGCTGAGACAAGCCTGAGTTAGGGGCCATGTGGTTAAAACACCAAAATCCCCTTAACTGGAGACACCTAAGAACTCAATGGATGAGCTGACTTGCGTTGCCTCCTGCCCCATCAAACTCTGTCATTCACCACCTTCTGCAACCAGAATATTATCAAACTAAATTCACACTAAGGAAGACACTCAGAAAAAACCCAAATATTTTTCAAACTGACCACATTGCTTGCTTCACCCTGTTCTGCCCAGGCATGTCCATAAAATCCTGCCCCAAATTAGACAACATCCTAATGTTGCCCATAAACATTTGGAATGAGTGAATGTAGGCCAAAAGTGCCTACTTAAAGTTTTATTTACAATTACAAGCCTTTTTATTCTGTACCAAAAAAAACACCAGAAGAAGAATGAGACTGACATGTATGGTGTTACCAGCACTCTCACTGCCAATACACAACAGCAGCAATAGACCCAGGGGTAAAGGTATTTAATCTAAAATCTGGCTCATTTCCTGGTAATAATAATTTGGACCGTGAAGTTACCACCAAATACAGTCTCAGTATCTTAAATCTGGCTTCTGGCATAGATAATTTAACAGTAAAAAACTGTTTTGTTGTTGATTTAGTCAACATTAAAAATTTATATCCTGTCTAGTCTGGAACAGTAACACTCCAGAGCCCTCAGGGAAAACAGAGGTCCCATGAATGCTCATACAAGTGCAGAATGCAGTGGTCTACTCTGGGAAGAAATCACCACCCATGCAAGGAAAAGCTGAACAGAAGTTACTTAAATCAGTAAGATGAATTATGACTTGCCATTTCTTTCCATTTCTTTCTTTGTCTGTGCTTATGTCAATTTAATGATTAAGAAATATTCAAATAGTAGTAGGGAAGTTTTTTGTGAATAAAAGTATTCAGTACTTCCTGCTTCTCTTGCAGAAAAGGACTGTATATAAAACACCCAGCACACAGTAAAATTAGATGTTTTTAAAAACTATAATAAAACACTTTAGTATAATAAAGGGAACCTAGCAAATGAAGGAAAAAATGGCACAAACTCAATTAAAGATGTGTAAATACCTTCCTAAGTAAACTTGAGTAACATTATATCAATACTATATACCCCAAATGCTTTTCTCTAACCCAAATTTATTATGCAACCTGACTTACACCAAACCAGAGCATAACTGAGGGGAAGAACAAGAAGTGCCAGGTGCTCTTCAGAAACTGATGTATCTCACATGAGGAGAGACTCAGTATGAAGGAAAACAAGAAAGCCCAGCCACAAGCAATGATGAGCCAACAGGGGGAATATTTGCCTTTGTGCATTTATCTGGATTTGGAGATGTTTGGCACATTTTTCCCCAATTTAAAATGAAATATAAGTAGCTTAAAATGAGGCTGGTGATGACAGAAGAAAAGCACAAATAGGTATTTATCTCTGTGATCAAATGGAGCAGGCAAGAGCTGGAAAGAACAATCTGTACTTGTAATCCCCCTGCCTAGGACCCCCTCCAGACACAGCTGGGCTCCTCATCACACAGGGAATCAGACTCACTAGCACAGATTCCCATGAGAAACCTCTACTCAAGCCCTCTCAGAACAGGAACTGACAATAAGGACTCTTATTTTACCTTTAAACTACTCCCTAATGAAGCAGCAGCTACTGGGAAGAACATGAGACAAAGGCTCAGAGTCATCAGTGCAGGAATTCTGCTCAGGACAGGGGATGCCCAGGCTGGAAGTTGATGCAACATAAAACAGCATCCAACAGAGATGTTGTTAAACCTGCTCTACACATTCTAACTCTTTGAAATCAAAAGTGACATCAATTAATCACATTCATTTAATCATTTTCACAGAAATAAGAATATTAAAAAACTAGAGAGAAATAATAAATTAGCAATTACCCTCATCTAGTACAAAGCACTACTTGTAGTCTTTATTTTCTTGCAGATCAGTAGCATATCTGAAATGCAGGTTTATTGAATTGTTCAAGTATTTCTTTGAAATGTCAAAAAGTAACTGCTTATGAAGAGGCCCTCATACAATCTTCTTATGTTCTCAACAGCTAAAGTTTGCTGCCACAGTCAGGCTAATTATTTGTCAAAGCCTCTTGATCACATTAAATATGGAAAAAAACCTCATAGCAAAAGAAATGTAGAAGAAAAATTATGAATTGGTCCTATCCAAACTGCAAGGAACAATAAATCAAAGGGATGTTTAATAAAACCACGGAATTTTAAAATGCAAATGGGTAGGTTCTAAGAATATGTTTAATTATTCATTTTGCATACAGTTTGAAAAATGCTAATAAAAATTTAAAAGCATTGAGGCCTGACTTCTTTTATCAAGAACTGTAAACTTGCTTAGTTCAGGGAAGCACAAATGCAAGTGTGATAGATTGAGCAGGATTCTGGCACTCACTGGGTGCAGGTATTTCCTTCAGCCCCACAAAACAGGGATGTGATTCCACTGCTAGGAAAACAGGTAAGCCTGCAAAACCAAAGGTGTCACAATGGACTTGATGGGTGTTAGGGGAGATATGCCTTGACACCTTTTCACTGGCTTTTTTTTTTTAAACTCTCACAAGTATAGATGACAATTTGGAAGTGTTTGATTCTAGCTTTGGAATGAACTTCCAGAACAGGGAGGGAAAACAGAGCCACAAAATCATGAATGACATAACATCTCCAAGGAGGAGGACTCTGAGAGAACAAAAAGGCCAACACAAATCCCACCAACAACTGCTGCTGATGCAGCAAAGCCTGAGGTCAGAAATGTTAAATCTAAAGACTGTCTATACACAGAGACAGGTGAATCCAGACTCTTTAGAGGTCTGGAAACTATTCTAAATTAAAAGGAAAAGAATGAGAACTAAATCCATATCAAAACACAAATCACGAGGCTATGACTCCAAGCAGGCACATGTAAAATTTGTACACCCCTTAGAAAACAAAGTATTACAAGTTTTTCAGGTCTGTACAAGATGACTTTCAGCTGAGTAACAGAACTCTTTTCCCAAGCCTGGGGGTTTCTTGGCGTTTTTTCCCAAATGCAAGAGCACATAGCTGTGAAACAGCACAAACAACTAATACCAGAAAAGATGGCATAAAATAGAACATTCCTTAGAAACTGGGCTGAACCAGAAGTAATTTTTAACAGGTCACTTCAAACACAACACAGATACTCTTTTCTTCCCTTCTATAGGCACGGGACTAAGATCTGTGAGGTTCAGCACAACCTGGTCAGAGAGCTGAGGGTGTGGGGTTAGCACAGGAGCTGGGCTGAGGCTGTCACACACCTCTCAGGACAGCTTGGCATCCCTTCACCACCTGGGATCAGCTCATCTGCAACCCCAACCAGCTGTTCAAAGCTTTTGTTTGGCAGATGTGCACACAACCAGACCTGTCAGGAGTCCCACAGATCACAAACCTCTCTTTTCACCTTGCTAGTGTGGGACAGCTCTGGGACAACACAGTGCATTCACAACTCTTTTTTAGGAAGTGGGGAAAAAAATAACTTAGTCTTCTTGAACAAGGTCATCTTTCTGTCTAAATTCAACCTGAACTAAGCAGCCTGGAAGCACTGAAAGGGTCCTTGGGCCCCACCTCTCCCTCTCCTTCCATATTTTGTGTGTGTTTTCCAGTAATTTATGGGCTGTCAAGTAATATCAGAATATACCAGATCAGAGAATTTGAATGTACATGATCAAAAGAGCAAAAGCTGCAGAACAGCACTGTGAAAAACAAACAAGTTTTACCTTCCTTTGTGAGGCCTTCCCCTCTCTGGCACACCCGCAGACGTCCTCCTGTTGACAGTGGAGTAGTCTGGATCCAGTTCATACCCCTCATCATCCACTCCCAGGCTGCGGTTGTCATCCTCCAGTCCGTAGGGCTCCGGCTGGAAGCGCTCGGGCTGGGAGCGGTTCAGGTCAACGCTGCTGCTGCCCACGGGCACCTGGGGCTGGGCCACGGGCCCGTAGTTGTCCCTCCTGCTGGGCAGGGTGAAGCTGCCATCGTCGGGCCGGTAGGTGCCCCCGGGCACGTAGGCGTAGCGGGGCCGGTAGCCGACGCCCCGGGACAAGCTGCCGTAGCTGTCCGAGAGGTCCCCGTAGCCGTCGTGGCCGATATAGGGGCGGTACTGGCCCTCGTGGCCCTCGGGGTAGGAGTCGTTGTAGCTGTTGTAGGAGCGGCTCAGCGTGGACGAGGCCTGGGGGGGGATGAAGCGCTCGCCGTTCTTCAGGAACCTCCTGTCGATGGAGTCCGTGTAGCTGCCCATGGGCGAGGAGCCGTCCATGGCCGGGAGCCCGTCCGGCCCCAGCGGCACCTGCCGCACCGTCCTCGTGGTCACCGTCTTCACCATCTTGGTGACCTGGCAGGAAGCAGCGAGGAAATAAATGTGTTAATGCTCTCCCTGCTGCATAACGTGGTGAGACACGGGGAGGTGGAGGAGTCGAAGGGGGAGAGAGCACCGCAGAGCAAACTCCTGTGCTGTGCCTGTAACACCAGCACAGCCATCAGCTCACCTGTTAGCTTTTGGAATGAACAGTGGAAAAATGCTTTGAAAAAAGCACTCTGGGCTCTCCCTACCAAATCAAAAGCACTGCAGCCATGTGACAGCACATGGAAACAGCACAAAGTCATTATACCAGTTCCATTTACCCCAAAATGATTTCAGGAGACCTCTGTCCTAAGAGAAAACTTCATCATGTTGTGGAGCCACAGCCTGTCCTCCCACAGCTACAGCATAAATACCACATCACATTCTCTAGTTTAACAAAAATAGAGTTATGTGCTTTTGCGTGATCAAGTTTGCACCTCTGTGTAATTTGATGGAGCTCAAATCTGGCAATAATATTTAGGAAACCATGATCTCAAACAGAGAAGTTTTGGGCTTCAAGACTGTGGACAACACACCAGCTTTCTCTTTTAAGATATTCTTACATCCACCAATCACCACACAAACCCAACAGGAAGCTGTTGTCATTATTTTGGTGACTAACAAATTTGCAATAATGAACACACACACCACACTGCTTTTGCAATTGCAGCTACCTAAACATCCTAGACAAGCTTGTTTAAAACACTGGAGAAAAATCTGCACACAAATAGAGCTTTATCTTTACTTCCATAAATCACATTTCATTTCAAAACAGAATTTGCAAAAACTGAAAATAGCAAATGTCCAGAGGGCTCTTGTATTCAGGGTTCCTTGCTGAAGGGTAAGAACAAAGAGTCCTTAAAACTTTGCAAGAACCATCTGCCTTTGTGGCAAAGGTCTGGTAATCTGTTTAGGCCAGTGCTGGACAAAAGCCACTGCATTTACAAACTAGCAAAGGGCCTTCTTGTTTGGGTTGGTATCTGGGTTCCATCAACTTCTGTACTGCCGTCCAGAGTGACCAGCAAAAGCTCTTTTGGGAAGAATAAAAAGTCCAGCAAATGCCAGCCTATCCTTGGTAGCCCCAACCCCAAAAATATTACTTCAACCTATAGAAAGTTACCCTAATCCTAGTAAGTGCTGACTTTTCAGTCCAACCAAGCAAAAAAACAGCACATCCACAAAGATGAGAGGGAGAATCAACCTACCTGACAGCATTACACACGCCAGGGGAAGAACACAAAATTGGTAAAAGGTATTTGGGGTTTCTAAGATATTACAAACATAAATAAGCATCAGCAAATGACACTTTTCTTCATTTAAGTCTCAGAATGAAATGCTACATTCAAGGGATATGTTAACCACAACATGTATCCCTGGATTGCTCAGTGGCTCTGAAGTCCAAATAAATATTTTGACCTATGGCCTCCGATTTAAACATTTAGATTGGCAACAGATTAGCCAAGCTACTGCAAAGCAAAATAATTCGACTACATCTCTTGAAATGGCTCCAGACATGTCCTCTAGCCAGATGTTTTCACACAGAAACCCCAAACAGAAAAAAGATTCACCCAAACAGCATTTCTTTTCCTACACACATCTGTGAGCAAATGATACTTCAACATAATGAAGTAATGAAATCCTACAAGACTGAAAGCGGCACGAATGCCTCTCCACCAGCAGTGTAATTAACAGCAACACGACGCTGAATGCAGCACAGCCAGGTACCAACATGACCTCAGTATCTAATTTGAGCCAGAGCTGAAAGATTTTCCTCATCAATACAAAGGGATTTCCTCATCGGGTAAACATCAGGAAAGATGCTATCCTTCCATGCCGCTGAGTCTTTTCTCCTTTTTTTCAAAGCATACATTTTAATAACTGGAAGAAAGGAAACCAGAAACTCAGTATTTATTTAATGACATACAATCCAACAGGGGTTTTTGTTTGTTACCTGTGTACAATACTTCTCCCTTCTGCTCAGTTGTCAGCGTGACCACTGTCACAGCTTTCATAAACTCAGCAGTGAGAGGACAGAAAGAGCTGGCAGTTTACAGTAGCTCTTTGTGAAGTGGGTACACACAAAGCAACACAGCTCAGTGTTCTCCTACTGAAGTCAAACAATACTTTTATTCAAAGTACCATATTCACAAGTGATCTTCTAAGAGCAGAAAAAGCGACATTTCTCAGGCCTGAAATATGCGAGTTTTGCAAAGCCATGACAAAACTGGGCCTTTGTGTTCTTGAATTTGGGAACCAGTAATGGCAATAACAGGAATTAAGGTAGATATCAGCAATTTGATGAATCAGAAATGGATACTTGTGCTCAGAAAGGAACAAGGAAGGAGCTTTCTAAATGCCAAGAAGTGCCCTTGCATAACCTCACAGAGCTCCTTCTTTCACACCACACAGCAGCTCCAAGCCCAAGCACTGCCTTTCAGACACGAGCTGCCACGCTTGCTCACTTTGTCACCTGTCATTTTTCCTAACGCTGTTAAGATCAGACAATAGGAAGTACCTAACACACCTCCTCTGGCTGCAGCAACAGCACAAAAGGAGGAATAAACTTTGTTCTGCAGGATCAGGTCCACCTTTATCAAAGACTTGCTCCATGTCATTGGTAAACAGGATGAGGTGACAATCACAGAAATGTTACAGCCAGGACAATTGTCTCCAACAGCTGCTACACGTACACAAAAACCACAAAGCCGAATTTCAGATCATTGAAAATCACCTCCTAGACAATGTGTGACCTGCCAGTTACCCTTAGTGAGTTTTTCGCCATGCTCTGGCACTCTACAGAGTATTTACAGAAATTTGGAGTTTTAGTTTAAATTGCCAACAGAATGCAAGGGATTAGTTTGCAATTTATATCTACTTTGCCTTATTTTCCTGCCTTTCAAACTAGTACAGACAGGCTTTCAATGGCTGTGGCTCATCAGAAAGCCACACTCAGTGTGAGGCAGCAGAGCACATGTAAAAACAAGTTTACAGCCTTAGCACAGCTTCACCTCTTGCTATTTTCTGAACGCTGCACCCAGCAGCAAACACAAAGTACCAGGACAATCAAAACCACCTTGGTCAGACACATAAAAAGGAACATTTCACTCAAGCATTGAAGTATGCATTTCTCATAGTATAAAAGCACTCAGTAATGCTAAAGGTGTTATACTGGGGCAATCAAACAGAGCCATTTTATATTTTGAGAGAGAGGGAGTATTTGTACTCATGCCTCATTTGTCAGGCAGAGGCATTGAGACAGAAGATTTATCATGTGATAAACAGATTTTGCTGCTGACAGGACAATAAAGGGAAGCTTTTTGGCAGCAATTAGCCAGCACACAGATGAAGGTCCATTTAATGAAAGGTTTCCAAGCAAAAGAAGAAACCCAACCAACAAACCAAACACGTTTATTTCAGGAAATCCTCCTCAAGGGAATATTTCATTTATATTTCTAAAAGAACACAGGCAATCTTGAGCAGCTGACAACACAGTAATCTTCTCTCCCAACATTTTTGTGGTTTCCTTAATACTGATGCATTAGCTGGACAGAATGAAGCTATTCCAAATTCCAGTCCCAACAGACTGCCTTATCTGAGAGACACCTGATCCTTCAGATGCACCCAACCTTAAAAAAGATTTTTTAGCATCAGTTCCTCACTGTAGATGTGCTCTAATAAAAAAATGTAGAGTTACAAGTTACTTTGAGTGTAATTTGACTTCCTCTGTTTACTTTCCATCCCTAAAGAAAACCTGTGTAAAAAGGTTTTTTCAGCCCAATGACAAATCAAAGATGTTCAATTGTTTAAATGCCCCAATCTTGGAGTACCAGAGGAAAGCTTCAGACTACTTCCCTATAAAGAGCAAGATTTCAGCCACAGGACAAAAAAAAAAAAAAAATCCAATTTATTTAGTAGTTGACGCTCTCTGCAGCCAAAATTTTGTGATACTTCAAGTCAGTGCTTTCATTGCTGCTCTCCACACCCCAAAATCTGAGTATACTTCAGGTTTACTGACCTTACCATTGTTCACCCCACAAATATCAATTATTTTAGGAAATAATTCCCTTACAGGCCCCAGGATAATGGTTTCACTAATTCTGTTTCTGGAAATACATTTGCCAATGGAACATAAAGGAAATATTCACACATTTGAAGCAGCTTCTGTATTCTTCTGTCCCTTATCCTATTTATCTAGGAGGATGGGAGAAAAAACATGAAACTATCCAACAACTGGATTTACTGGATGCATGTGTACATGGTACAAGTAGGTGCCTCACAATGCTCAGTCCCAGAGGAGTAAAGACAGTACCAAGATTTCTGTAGAACTGGGCTGTCATGGTTGGATGCAGTCATCTTATCTGTAATTCTGCCTTCCATTTTGTTTCTGAGGTTGGTTTTGTTTTGCCTTTAATTTATTTAAAATAAATTAACTGCATTATAAAAGCTGAGAGGGATAACAATCTTGTTGAAACTCTCATAAACCAAGAATCAGCTGAGAAGGAATGCAGGAGGATCTGAGCATCCTGACATTTCTGTGAGCTTATTTTTGAACTATGGACTGTAAAAATTTATCAGCCCATGCAGGTTGAAGCTATTACCTTTCTATTAAATGCTGTGGAAGAACTCACCCTGCAGGTTTCCAAAACAACAGCTGAAATCTCTCCCCTTCAATTTCAAGCCTAGTATTTCACATTTTGAAAGGGCCCTCAACTTCAGCTAAAATCCATTCTGGCTCTATTCCTAATTCCTTTGAATTTCCTGCAAAGTTCCTAAGAACTGCCTCTGGGGGTACCTGGCACCAGCAGAACCTGGAGTTTTGGTAACAAGCACAGGTGTTAGGCAGTGGGAACAGCAGTAAATCACTGCTGGGAGCTGGACCTGCTGACTATTGGAAAGCTCCAAGAAAATGGATGGACTACAAATTAAACAACTTTGTATACAGATTGATTTCCCACTTTGCTATGATAAAACATCAATTTCAATGAGTAACAGTGACCTACATATTACAAATCTTTTGGCATTTCAAAGATAAAAATTAGAGGTGCCTGGAAAAAGAAAAAAAGTGAACTTTGACACAAACATCTAATTTGCTTTACTGAGTTCTCTTGAGCCACTTACAACAGGCTCCCTTTAACACCTGGCAGTGCTCCAGCCAGCAGCAAGAAGTGGAAGTCTCTCCCCAAGGTGACTTTCACTGTTTTAGCTTGATGGGTATTTGGCTTCCAGAGATATTATAAAGTTGAAATGAAGTGTTATCTGCTACATCTTTTGTGCAATGAATGCTATGTAGGGACTTAGTATAACACTAAAAGAATAACAGGTAGGGGAAAATTACCCAGAGATATCTCATTTTGAAAAGGCAGATGTTCTCTATTTAAAATATGTCAAATATTAAATTCTATTACGCCTCCTTCCTGCTTCAGTGCTACAGGCATTTTCAAAGATGAGGGAAAAGCAAAGCAAAACTGTCAATGCATCTAGATTAAGGTTGTTTACTTAATACACTATTGAAAAGAATAACCTCTATAAATTATGGGTTTGAAACAACAGGGGAAGGAACAGAGAATAAAGGAACAGCAGCATCCAGGAGCATTCACGTTTACAGCCTTTGCGGTGCTGCATTTCATGAGGAAGAATTTCAGAAGCATTGCTCTCCAGCAAGCTAGAAATTCACACAATTTAACAAAAATAAGTGATAATTTCCTTGTAAGAATCCAAAAATGGCATTAGGTTGACAAATCCCCACATGAACTATCCAGCAAAGAAAGAATACATTTGAAAAAAACATCTCTGGTCTCTTTGGCTTTTAAAAAACCATGACCTGTGTTATTTCCTCTGTCACAGGAAGTATCTTATGCCCCCACTTTCTCTGCAAGAAGGATATGCTGGAGATTGTGGCTGACACTGTCCAGCAGAGCCCTTAGTTATAGACACAAAAACAGGTTCTGAATCCTTCCTTAAAGGGGCCTGGAGCAAGCAGAGCAATGTGGAGCATGAAGGGCGATTGCTCAGAGTAAAAGAAAGGCTGAGCACAAACCTACCTGCCCTGAGCACAGTGTGACCATCTCAGCTTCACCCACTGGGGAGTCTGACAGAGATGGGAGGATTCCCAGCACAGGAAATGCTGCTCCTCTACAAGGGCACAAGTACCACCTGCACACTGAATGCAAGGCCAGATTCATGTGGAGTGCTTTGGTTTGGGGGGGATTTGTAGAGTGTATTTTCAATTTCTTTAAATCAGGCAGAGCAGGCAGAGACACAAAACTGCAGTTTTTGGGCTCAACATCTCCTACTCCTGCCATGTAGGATGGCCAGCAGGGGCTGCATCTCCCATGCCAGAGAGATTTCCTCAGCACCCTCCTCTGAGCAGCAAGGTCAGAATTCTGCCACTGCACAGAGGTACCAGGAAACTTAATTTTCTCTGTAAGGCTCTCACACAATAGCATGAGCTATGAAAGCACCATGATGACACCTATTAGAAATGATTGTGTCAATGACAATTAACTCCAGGGCAATTAACTGATGCTACTAAACCCCAGTGACACAGGTTTCATTTTCACAGTCCCTACCAAAACAAAATGCAAGTTGAAGACCAAAGTGATGTAAAAAACTTGTAAAATCTGACCTCAGATTAGTATCTAAGAGCTGTTAAATCTATGCCTTTTTATCACAGCAAGGAGAAGTCAAAACAAAACCATTTCAGAGGCAACAACCCCAGCAAAGTCTCAGCACCTCTTCTGAGAGTCAGGGCTAAGCCAGGCTGTGTTTTGACATTTCAGAATCACTTTTCTCAACAACTGGGATTTTAGTTTTTTTTTTTGTTGGTCCTTGTAGCAATGAATTACTAGGAAACAGCTCCAGGTAGTACTTCAGCTGCAGTCAGTGGCATTATTTGAAAATACACAAATTGAGAGCAAGACAGCTCCACATTCCACCCCCGTCCTGGACACACTTCAGTGCCTGCCATGACCTGCAGTGGCACAAGAAAGCCTTGCTCTTTGAAATGGAACAGTAGCTCCAAGGTTGCTGTTTTTTCAATTTTCCTTTCCCATATGCAGCCACAATGGCTGTTTTGAAGCTGTCACTGTGCTCTCCTGTGGGAAGATGGAACAACAGGAGGTGCCCCCCAACCCAGAGGAGAAAATCACACCTCTGAGCCATGACAAACACACAGCTTTTATCAGTGCCACAACTATTCCAGACAAACTACTTCACTCCATGTGCTCCTGTTATCTAGGTGAGGCATGGCCTCACCTCTATTTTTACAGTCATAGCTATAATCTTATGCCCTTGCAGCCTCCTAAAACTATGCACTACTATTAGTACATATAAAAAGGTGTCCATCCCCACTGTAATTTTATCACTTCCTTCCTGCAAATAACAGTTGTTGCTGCCACTAGAAAGAAAATAGCATTTCTTTCATGTAAGTCACAAACTAAATACATTAGATTATTTGAAAAGCTAATAAAAATGTGGGGGTTTTTTGTTCATCTGCTTTTATTTTAAAACCTTAATCTCCTTGCAACAATCAGAAAATAGGCCAGTTATATTTACCTTGTAACTAACTGCAACAACTATTAAACCAGATACTCAGTTTAATATCAGTACAGGCCTACTGATCTCAGGAAACCAACATTTATTTACTTCAACTTGAGGATCTGATGTCCTGAATAGATATCCTAGAGGACTGCAAATCTGAAACACCAGTGAAAATAAACACTGATTTACACAGTGACCTCTCTTCAACTCCTTTTAACACAGAAAGCAGTTGGACAATCTCCTCCCCCCCCTTTTTTTTTAAAATCAGTCCTGTTTAGAAGTTTTTAAAACAGAAATCACCCTTAATCTCTATAATGTTTCAGTGTCACTGAAAGCATGCAAGGCAGCCATGAACACACAGCATCTGCCCAACAGAGACTGTAAAATTACCTTACACAAGAACAAAAAGATATCAGGAAAATTAGAACACTTGCAACACCCATAATCCAGCCAAACCTGAGGTACAGTCACTGGAGAGCACACCCAGCTTTCCCCATGCATTAGGAGTAAGATGCCATTCACACGATTGTTGCAGCTTTTAAATGCTATGGTGTTATATACATAGGCTGTTTCTTGTTCCACAGGACAAAGGCATAATCATAATATAATGTTATTATAGATTGTCACTAATTTAAGACATATTTTCCTCAGCCAAGCCCTACCAACTCACCAATTTTTGTTTGCAGGGCAATGCCACGAACTGCTTCAGTAGAATTAAGTGAATATTACAAGAATAAGCAGCCTGAGGAGGGGTTCTGGTGTTTTTGTTTGGTTAACCTGGGTCATTTCTACTGTTCAGTTCACAGCTCCATGAAGAGCAGTATCAGCACAGCTGATAGGGAGCAATCTAGACACAGAGGTGAAACTGAAAAAGCCCTGAACTCAGCTCTGCTGGCAAACACGATGCTCAAAACCACTGAGGATCACAATAGCATGATTGTCATCACTCAGGCTACTCCCTGCTATTTCTACTCCATGATTAGATGGCACGTTGCCATTTTCCTCAGTGGCTGTTAACCTCTCACCTTGGTTTCAGTTCTCCTTGTGGTTCCATCTTCAGAAGTGACAATAGACACGTGGGAAGTGGGAGTGCCTGGGTCTTCCTCCACTGTAACTGTCTCTTCCACCATTTCTTGAGGCTCTTGCATCATTGCTATTGAAGTCTGGTTACTGGGGCTTTGTTCCTATAAAGAAGAAGGTAAAAAAAAAATTAACTTCTCACTTCTACCATCATGGTGTAACTATTCCACGGATTTCAGCTTCTTTGATTGAAAAAACCCCACATTTTAACCAACAATTTGCAAGCAGAGATTCAGAGAAAGGAGTATCTCCTGTCAGACAAGCTTGCTGCAACTGTGCTGGTATGGCTGGGCTCAGTGCAGCAGACAGAAATCATCTGAAGCATCTATCAAGTACTTCATATTAACAGGCAACAGACTAACAGACTATCTTAAATTTAAATCTGCTTTAAGCTTACTCAATGCCCAGCATAGGAGGAGTGGAATTTTTCTCTGCAAAAACACTCTTTCAGTTCTGCAGTGAACAGGCCCACTGGCTTTTAGAGCAGTTAATCTTACACACCACTGAAAGTTTCTCTGCATTTGATAAAGTACACTCAGCTGGAGACTAGAGAAGGCTATAAAACATCAACACCTACAATTAGACACCTCTCTCAAACTGCCCAAAGCGACGATAATGAAACAAAAACTTCCTGGCTAGAGATTAATTCACTGAAATGCTTCCCTTCCTACATCTTCACTGAGTCTGTAAGGTCTAACTGGCTACAGGCTTATTTAAATTGATAACAGATAGACAACATAATAAAATCTAAACAGAAAGCAGGGAGATCAAAGGCAGGTTCTTGCAGGGATACTGCCTAAAGAGAACACTGCTGCTCGCCAGCACTGGCATCTGAACCTTCCTTTTTCTTATGCAATTGTGTGTTCCAGCCCAGAAATCAGAGAAGCTCCCTTTGGAAGATGAATGTCTTTCAGAAGTTTCCCAGCAAGAGGCCAATAAAGAACCAGCTTATGCACTGAGAACTCAGACTTTTGCCCAGCATTATGAATCCTCAGCCATGTTAAATGAAACTACAAACTGCTCATTTCATTACAAGCCCTGACAGTATCTGGCTACACAGGCTTTAAAGCCAAAGCAGGGCTTCTGCTGGCACATCCTGTCAAACAGACACTCAAAGAACATCCTTTATTAAAGACTATATATGCACAAACATATTTTTACACACATTTTAAAAACAAAAACAAGAAAATCCAAGAATGACACAAAGCCCAAAACTGCAAATTGAACACACTTTGCCAACAGCAAACTCTGGACAAATCCACTCTATCTTTTCACATCACAGGAAAACAAAAAGGCTTGGGATGAAACTGTTGTAATAGAGGTGCTCAGCCTAACCATATAAAGGTTTAAATATTCTCCACATGTGAACAGCTTCATCAGCAGGGAACTACAAAACTAAATTTTGTATCATTTAGAAAAATTGCATTTCAACCCAGCTATAGCCTTTGCATTTCCCCTTTTGCTGTGCCATATGACATTTTGCTGCTGATGTCTCATTAAGGTCCACATTTAATTCTTGCATGATCTATTATTTCTCTTTAAACAAGCTGAGATGCCCCTGCCCAGTTTTCCTTTATTTACAGCTGTATTTTGACCTTCTGGAACTCAGACTTCAGTAAGAAAGCCACTCCCATTTTCAGGTAAGCACTAATATTAACCAAGACCATGACAATAAGCCTTTGCCAATCACCTCAGTCAAAATGCAACAGAGACAGCCTCCAAAGGTAAGGCACAGAAGTGATACAAGCAGGCACTACTTCCATTTCTATTGAAACCACAGAATAACTCAAGTTACAGAATCAATGTGAATAAGGTTTCTGAAATCCTAAAGAAAATCACTCCTCCAGTCTGCAGGACTCAAACCATTAATGGCAAATAACTTATGATACATGCTGAATTCTTCATGGTAGAGTTCAGATGGCACATCGTGCCTTCTGTGCACGGCTCCAGAAGGGGAATTGCTCCTGCAATAAATACATTATTCTCTTCACATTTTTCTTGAAGATACTGTGTTATAACTGCAACTCCCTTTCTCACACCCCATAGTGAAGCTTTCCTGCAAAGAGAATAATTTACACAATACTGCAATAGAGTAGAGACTCAGAACTTTTATTCACCTTCACTCAACCAAAGCTTACCAAGAACAAAGAAATCAGTTACATGTAGAGGGTTTTTGCACAACACCTTATCCCTGTAAAGCTCACCACTGCTTCAAGGTGGGACTTTCTCACTCCTCTCACACATGTATGTACACACACAGCTCATCCACCACCTTCATTTCCAGCTGCATTTGAGGTGCTGGCATCTCTTTGTTCCCCTCTAGACTTTATACAGGCAGCCTCTGTTTTCTGATAATAAACCCGAGGAGATGGAAGGTGGAAAGAAATATTTTGTTCTTTGAGCTTTTGCAATACTTTTATAAAAAAAAAAAAAAAAATAGAGAGCCTTCCTTTGTGTTCAGACTGCCTGTGGGCAAAGGAAACCTTAAAAGCTAGGCACTTAAACATGAGCAAATAGCAAGCTAGAGCATATTGACTTTAAATGAGCATTGTGCTGGGTTTTATCCTCTGGCTGCTTCTTAAATGAAGATTCAGGCAGATATGGTACAGATCTGCATTCCTACAAGAGAAGACTATTGTTAGCAAGAGACTGTCCTAGGCATCAGAGAGGCTAAAAGCTTGGAAAGCTGAAGGTAGATATCTCAACACAGACAGGTGCCCAGCCAGCACCAACTGTGCCTTCCTTCTTGCTGTGTGAGCTCCTGAGGAACGCAGTGAGCCAAGGGGACAGCAAGGGGACAGCCTGACACCCAGCTCACCCCTGAACCAGGTGGTTCTTTCATCTCCAACCCAGTCCTTTCTCTACATTGTTAGCTTGGGGCTGTCACAAGTTAACATTAACGTAGAAAAGATGCAAAGGTTTTGTTATCTGCTTTTAGACGCCATCATTAAGGATTTTAGGTCATCACAAATTGCAGAAACTGGGACACATTACCCCTTTCAACTACTTCCTCTGTGCTCAGCTTCGAAGCCAGTATTTAGGACGTTCTTTTTTGCTAAATACACCTCAGGTTCTCAGGTTCCAAACATTTGGCAGGTATGCCTAATTATCCAGAGTAAACCACAAGCTGCTGGATAGGGCTGGAACACGACACCTCTAATGAATAATCCAGTAGTTCCCTGCCTGCTAGAAGGAGGTTATTTCCAGTTCAAAATAACATATATTCATTTACCTTACTGGAGGCTTCCAAAGCAAAAGCAATGAGATTACAAAACTCTATCAAATTATAGGAACAGATTCCAGTGCAGTTATTGCATGTGGTGTCAGTAGTCATGACTCTTCCTTTTACTTCTGCTTTTTTGAGACCAAATGAATCCTATCCTGTTGATTTGTACTTGCATCTCCAGTGTGCTTTAAAAAAGCCAGGCTATTTACAACACAAAGCAACAATCAATTTACCTCCAGCCTGTAAAAGTTAAGCGCAGATGAAACAGCTAAAGACCTTGTAAAATAAGCAAGAAACATAAAGTAACAGTAATTCTTGTTTTGTTAAAGAACAGTGATTTATCATTTAGGGCACATATCTCCTAGGGCTTATTTTGCATTAGACTACTATAGCTTCTGTAATCATCACCATTTCAATTCCTAGCGTTGTATTTCCATCAAAGTAGCTATTTTATATCTGTTTTAATAAAAGAATAACCTCCCCCAGGAGGATCAGACATCCTACTTCAAGACAGTAAACAAAGTTTTTTATTCTCTGCCTATGGAACAATTTTAAACAGTCTGGAAATAATATAAAATTGCAGGGGATGATTATTTCCACTAAAACAGCCTCTCTTCAAGAACACTGAAATCGTGTACATCAAATCTTCATTGTCCCCAAGACCTCCTTTGTTCTAAAGATTGCAGTGCAGGCTATTCCAGCTACTCCATACTCCAGGCTACAGTCACATACCAGATTTGAGGGTTTGCAAAGCACAAAGGCTGGATTCTACATCAATGGACATACTTGTCCTCAGCCAACCCCAGCACAGACAAAGCTCAAGTGTATCAGCTCCTGTGAAACACATTACAAGTCTGGGCATAATTAATGGCATTGGACAACAATGCTAATTGAATTAAATGTGGATTCTCTCTCCTCTACTACTCTTTAAATTACTTGTTAAAGCTTCAATCTCTGTAAAGCATGAGATTATTTCTAAGTGCAAAGCAAGAGAACACTGGCTCTCTGCTGGAGTCAAGTCTCAGGCTGATACTGTGCCCCAATGGTCTCCTTCCCACTCAGGTCTGCACTTCCAGCTCAGCCATGTCCTCAAGCTTTTATTTGCTGAAGGCATGTGAAGAAAGACACAAAAGGCAAATGTGCAGGAACACAGCTGCTTAAAAAAAAGTCTGTCTAGAGATCTACATCAGACTGGGACATCAGAGAAGAAGGAAATCACTGATGGAATTTGTTGAATTTGGTGTACTTGAGGTAGACTTTTCTAGTACAAGATCAACTCCAGCAATTAAAGACTCTCAAATCTGGCTGATTGAGAGTTGACTCTCAAACCCTCCTGCCTTGTCAGAGCACCCTTCTTTCACCACAGCCTCAAGATCTCTCCTGTGCTCTCTGCCCTGGTTTGTCCTGAGAGCTTTCTGTGCATCTCAGCAGTGCCAAAGCTGGATTCCAAGCTGAGCAGCTCGTGCCCATCACCGAGCCTGTGTCCACCTAAGGGGCAGCAGTACAGGAAAGCATCCCACTCTTTCTAGTTTGCTCTTCAAAATCAAGTGAGCCCTCACACACTGCAGTGCTTGCACTACTGCAAGGCAGAGCACCTTCTGCAAGCACACAGAGACCTGAAGTTCAGGGACTGCCACAGGCTGTTTCCCCCAGCTCAAAAAGCACAGCAAGGTCTTCAGCACCAAAGCACAAGTACACAGCCAGACCTACCCAAATTCTTCATGTCTGGGGAAACATTGTGCCTAAACTGGGACCAAATGATGGCACACAAGCAGGATGGCTCTAGAACAACAAAAAGCACATGGACCAGCTGGTACTGAAACCCAAGCACACATGATGCTGGAAGGCCAGTCTACAATACAGAAAAATGACTTAAAT